TCTCGAGACATGTTTTGCATAGTCACTGAATTTGATGGACGCACACTTATTTCCCTTCCGGCTGCCCTGACATCTGAAGACTTAACCGCACCATTTGCTATGGCAAGACGCCCATGCTTTCTCGGGGCACCACTAGACACATCATATAGCGCCTTTCCATTCAAATATTGTTGTTGCTCAACCTCATGCCCATCCACTTCCATGTCTGCACCATCTCCATCCTCTTCGTTTGCACATTCTATCCTCTTAACAGCAGCAAGGTAGTCATCCTACAAAGACCCAATTCTAGCACTAGTTAGAAACCCAGTTCCTGAAAATTGAAGGTAGCTACTGTCTGTATCTATTTGCTTGCAGGTAGCTAGCAGCATGGCAGCAGGTCCAGCACTAGTTGCAACAGGTTCCAACCAGATCTTGAACCAGTTAGAACTCAGTTTGCACTAGTTACAAACCCAGTTTGACCAGACCCAGCAGCAACAAGTTTCAATCAGACCCAGTTTGAACTGGTCAGATCTAGTTCTAACTGGACCCAACAAGATACGATACTGTACATTAACCCGCCCTTCATACATATCAGTTTAGCGAAAGAAAATATACATCTTTAAAGCTGTATAGCACAAACCAGGTTCAGGACAGGACAAGCCCAAGAGCAAAAAGAAACCCCAAAAGAACAGAATAGGCTCATTGAGCGCTGCCTTATGACCCACCTCGCTTTGCTTAGCAGCATATATCACTTGGTACTTTGGCAACAGCTTAATTGAGCACAGCATATATACAGTTCCTATTCCATGCTTAAAATCCACACACCAATGGAGCAAGCAGCAAGAACTCAAAGAAGTGCCATGTACTCTATAATGCACCATCTGTTGAATCGAACAATGGGGCTAATGTACTCTATAATGCATGTACTCTATAATGCACCATCTGTAATATCACCATTAAAAGATGTAAGACGTATTAATCTTATACTGTTCTTAGTTAAATCCATACAGTAGAATAGCAGTATGTAGAAATTTATCTTACTACTAGTAGATCATAAAACGAGCACTATGAGTCTGACAATTGCATGTTACTATCAATTGCATGTTACTATGACGGGGCCTATATATGATAGCTGCACAGCATTGGTCATCTATATTGGAAAAGTATTTTGAAAATTGATACAGGTAAAGTTTACCATAGTTTATTTTTTATTTAATTTCTTAAAATAATAAATTTCTCCCTGCGTGACTTCATGCAGATATATCCAGCCAGGTTATTTGATGCTGGATGCTTCATTGGATTTGCAACCAGCCAGTTACTGAATAATTAAAAATAATGTTAACATGGACAACATGGATGAAGAAACATTCCACGAAATTGTTTGTGATGAGCTGGAACACTCGATCAAGCACTGCCACCATGACAGGGTAGCATACAACTGTTGAACTAGGCCATAGCACCTCACACTTGATGACTGATACAGTGCATACTCATTTTTTTTCTTCAAATGCTATATCAAGTATTGCAATTTGTTTCAATGTTTCTCATGGTTCGTCCTTATTTTTGTGAGGATATGTTCTAGACCTGCTGTCAAAAACCCAAACAAACTGAAACTACTCAGATTTACCAACTATAGACAGAAATTTTCATGACTCGTCAATTGATAGATCATCAGTGCACTGGTCTCCAAGAAGACTCTATGCATTAAAACAACAGCAGTTTTCTAGCGCATTTGACTTATTTGTGCCATCCTAAGGATTGGAGCAAAAAGTGTCCAAACTAACAGTAGCTCTTGTACATCCAAATTAAATAAGTTGAGAGCTAGGGTTTCACTAGTGCCTAGTTTTATACTGAATCTATTTTCATGGAAATCATTGCTTCAGAAATGAAATATTGAAATAGAAATGCACAGGTTGATGATCCCTAGCGTTTTCACGAGAAATGAATGATAATAATTATAGAACAATAATAAACCAATAGTTTTCTTATTATGAAAGGTATTATTTGTCGGTAACAATTGATCATGTTTGAAGAAATCATTAACCTGATGTGTATAGTTTCAGAACTTGAACAATGTTAGTAAAATCAGGTAGTTATGAGAGGGACACATGATATAAAAGTAGTATCACCTATAAATGTTGCAATAGTAGTAAAATGGATAGTCCTCACACCTGCATCTCATCGCTAGATGGCACTGCAGCATCAGCTGAAGCATAGATGTACCTCTGGTACCGCTCTAGAGTCTTAACCAGACTGATATTAAGGCAATAAAATAATGAATAAGTGATATTAAGGCTACTGTTGAAATGGTTGGTTTTGCTTATCCCTATCCAATGTTATGTGCACAGATATATGACTACAGCAAGCCAGAAAGCCAGCAGCAACCTTTCAAACAGCAATTCACCAAGAGGAAAGGCACATCACCAGCAAGGCAGTTTAGTTAGCTTCTTCCAAATGTCATATATTAAAAAAACAGAGGAAGTACAAAGATTAACTAGGACCACATATAGTTAGACACATGTCAGCTTAGCAAGGAAATGTACATCTTGAAAGCTGTACAACACAAACCACGTTCAGGACAGGACAAGCCCAAGAGCTAAAAGAAAACCCCTAAGGAACAAAATAGGCTCATTGAGAACCCAGAGGCATATACTACAAAAAAGAAGAATTCCTACACAGGATTAGGTGAGATATGGCCCCCTTTTTATCTTTAGGGGGGCAGTAATATCTTCAAGTAAACTCAACACCACTCGAAGTAGTATACACCCTAGAACTGTACAAGAAGAAATTTTCAGCACACATGTCACATACATACCATGCGTTTCTGTGCTTTGTGGCTACTGATTGAACCGCATCTACCATTGCTATCCAGGCTTTTCATGCCAGATTTCATCGCAGCAAATGTATTAATAGGAGTTGCTTTCTGTGGTCCAAAGTTAGCTTCCTAAAAAATAGTAAATTTTCCAATGAGATATGAATATACAATAGGCTACTAAGTTCCTAAAAAGACATTAAAGAATAAAGAATATACACGTGCATACCAATACTTGTTGTGTCTCTGTGAATGGTCTAGATCCTCCTCGGTTTTGAGCAATATCTTCATTACTTGAGCGAGATGTTTGCCCCCTCTTACGTTTGACCTTGTACTCGTCTGAGCACCAATAAGCACAAAGGAGGAGCCACACCTCATCATTCAACCACTCGAGCTTTCCTTGCTTGTATTGCTCATACTCGAGGTCAATATGGCATGCTACTGCATCTTTGATTTCTATGTGTTTTATTTCCCTGTAGTACTCCTTGACAGCATCCACACGGACTTGATACATCATGTTCCTCACCCTTTTCTTCAAACAGACTTCTAGAACACAGTCCGCATCTTGTTGATCTCCTACTGCAACTTGGAACAAACGCTGCATGTGTACAAAACCATGAACATAGGTTTCACATTGCATAGATTTTAGAAATTTCAAGTTTTAGATGTTGCTCAGAAATTCCAGATTGAACATAGGTATCTTACCCAAAATTCGGAAACCACTTTTTCTCCCCTTGTCATTTCCGTAGCCTTAGGATTTTTATGAAAATAATCAGCCCAATCCAGAGCTGGGCGCTTGAATTCATCACCGTTCTCATCCACCTCCACAATCACACCTGGATATTCTCTTCTAAGTATGACCCCAAGCTGAGTAGTGTATTTGTAAGGTGGTGGGTAGTAAATATAACTGAATTGCCTATAAATAAAGTAACAGGTCAGCACAAAAGGCTGCTAGGATATGGAAGTTCACAGCAACTACAGTAGAATTCATGCAAGTATTGGGACATAGAAGTTCATAGTGAACATGTAAGAGATAAGACTTTGGTGCAGGTTTACATCTAAGCACTAATGGTTGCTAAAATAGTTGAGTGTGATGAGTAGCTTACTGCTTAATTAATCACCAATTAGTCACAGTCACTAGTAGTTGCTAAAATAGTAGAGTTTGGTGCAGCTTACTTTCCAAGCAAAACACTCAGTTCAGATAGCTGATCAAATAGAAAAGTTAGAAAACTGCAAAGTTAGTGTATCATGGCCATCTTGGACTATGATAACCCGGATTCATCCTATGCCACACATGACATATATGTTATTGACTCTATAATCTTGTATGAATGCCGTCATTTCAAAAGGAGTTGGCAAACCAATGGATGTGGTTTGCTAGACCGACCTTTTTTTCTAAATGTTTAAGAAGTTCGGTCTAAATCGGACAGAACAAATCAAGAAGCATGATTATTGCAGTCTAGTGGAGCTTAAGCTATTATTGATGGGAAAAGAAGGAATGTGCTACTTCTCTATGATTTTCCAGTCTAGCAGCTAGTATTATATTGGAAATGAACCACACACAAGTCAACCAAGAGGGAGCATGTCATACAAAGTAAATGAAGTATACATGCTGTTGTTCAAGCAAGAAATGCACTCACTCGTCACCACTTGGTTTAAGAGCCACTTTAACACCACGTGGAGGTTGTTTAAATTTTGTTCGGGACCCTGCCTTCCTTCCTCTTTTCTTGGGTGGCTCTATTGGGGGAGCTTCAACAACTATTGTCCTTTGTGAGTCATCGCCTGCAGTTCCAGAACCTTCATTTGTTTGGGCTGCACTGCTGTTGGCTACACGGCGTGTGTGTCGAATGGAATGGACCATGGAACCGCCTGCGCTTTCAGAACCATCATTCCTTTCGGCTGCACGAAAACTAGGCACACGTTTGTTGCGTGTACTAACCATCTGCAGTAGATACAATATGTTAGATCCATCTTAAAACAAATAGTGCATCAGACAACAAATTATTAGAGGGGCAGCAAACATGGAAACTGCTATATTAATAAAGGATTGGAGAGAAAACAACATGAATTCAGATTTAGTAATCTTGAAGCACACATGCAAACCGATATATTAATAATCTTGGACTATTATTGCATATTCAAAAACAGTTACATAGGATCTTATGCATAACAAATAGCATAACTAAAACATATATTTTGGACTGCATATTCAAAAATCATTTGGATCATAAGTTTCTTCATCTTCTTCATCCATTGCTTCATCATCCTCTTCCGTCTCTTTCTCTTCTTCAATAGCTTCTTCATCATATTCCTCATCTAGAACAACTTGTTTCTGTATTGCTTCCAAGTCTTTTGGGTCGGTAACCTCATCTGATCCCGTTGCAATTAAGGAGTCCAAGGCATCACTCAAATCAATGACAAAGGTGCCATCCAAACCATCCGCTTGGTAGACATCCTGCACTACCCCTTCCATATTCATAGCTTCACTACTGCTTTCATTCATAGGCACACATCCATGTGGAGCAACATGGTAGACAACCCACCATGAAGACAACTCTCTGTTCTTACACGGGTATGACAGATAGTACACTTGAGTAACCTGACTAGCCATCACAAATGGGTCAAAATTTGATAATCTTAATGTATGATTGATCTCTACCAAGCCTAGATCTTCAATACGCCTCAATCCATTGGGTGTTGGATCAAACCAGGAGCAATAAAACAGCACCAACTCTAGTTTCATGCTGCCTTCCCACTCAATTTTAATTATATCTTCTATGATTCCATAATACTCTAGAGCATTGTCTGATTCATCAAAAGAAGTTACACAAACACCACTATTGATAGTTGTTAGCCCTACTCTTCCACTCTCATATTTCTTTGAACGGAATCTATAGCCATTGACATCATAACACCCATAGGACCTAACTCGAGGGCAGTAACCATAGGACATTTGGAACAGAGCATTGTGAATGCTAGCTGTTCTCAAGCACTGAAAAAACACAAATTATGTGATAAGTTTTTTATCATAATTCACAATGTCGGAACAGAACAAAGGCTGAAGTGTATGAGAAAATTACTTGCTCTTTGAACCAATCAAAAAAATTTGGAACAGATTGTATACCATGGCTATTTTTCCAACCATTTAACCTTAAATCACGACGTTGCTGGTCTGTGGGAGCTATACGGCTCTTCCACTGTTCATTATCGAAGTGTCTACATGAACACAATTCTTGTTATGCCTAGATAATAAAAAATCTAGAACAGAACAGTAATGACGTTTTTGGCACAACATACGTGAAGAAATCATCCATCTCCGGCATGTTTGTCAATATGTATAGAAAAGCAACCTTGTACTCCTTGTTTGAGAGTTCACGAACACCTCTAGGGCTCATGCAACGACCTGGACATTTAAAAATGTCAAGGTCACATGTACCTTGAAATGAAGATGCACAATCATCATAGCGAGGCACCTTATTTCTAACAGATGGAGCATGGGGTCTAAAATATAGACTTAGTGTATTTGCAGCCTCTTCAACAAGAAATGCCTCAACAATGCCAGCCTCAACACGAGCCTTATTTCTTACTTTTTTCCTAAGTTTTTGGATACACCTACGAAGTGAGAGCAACATATTACAGATAGCTAACTTATTGTTAGTGGCATAAATAAACTAGTTATTTCAATATTTCTAGATTTACCTCTCATATGGATAGCACCAACGTGCTAGGACAGGACCACCTAATCGTGCTTCATAAGGCAGATGTATGATGAGATGTTGCATAACATTGAAGAAACCAGGAGGAAATATCTTCTCCATTTTGCAAAGAAGCACTGCAACATTCTCCTCCAGAGAGCGGATAACATCTTTTCTAAGCTCTTTGGCACACAATTGCCGATAAAAGAAACTAAGCTCAGCCAAACAACGCCACACATTATCTGGCAAAAACCCACGAAACACTACAGGGAGCAACCTTTCCATAAAGATGTGATAATCATGACTTTTTAGTCCAAAAATTTCTTTTGCAGCAGATTCACACCACGCTTCAGATTGGATGCATATGAGTCGGGGCGCAATTCTTTGAACCATTGCAGGATGGTTGGCTTAACATCTTTGTGAGCTTATTTGAATGGACCTCTAGGCCTATCCCACTTGCCCATTGCTCTTTTGCATCAAATGCATGGAAGGACGATTACATATAATAGCCAAATCTAGCCTAGCTTTCACATTATCTTTGCTCTTTTCAGCTATGTCAAAACATGTGTTCCATATGGCTTCACCCATATTCTTTTCATTATGCATCACATCAATATTGTGTGGAAGTAGCAACTTATGGAAATATGGAAGCTGCCTAAAACAAAGTACATGTGTCCAATTGTGCAATCTCATCAGAGGTTTGTGTATCACCAAAGAACCTGGTTCACATGGGCTTGCACTTCCTCCTGTTAAGTACCTAGGTGCCTCATCAAACACCTTGGTGTTCTTGCGAAAAGCATTAGCTTCATTTCTAAATGGATGATCTTGAGGCAAGAAACGCCTATGGGTATCAAACCAAAGCAAAGCCTTACGCCCATTAGGGAGTAGGAATCCTCGACAACCACATCCATATGGGCATGACAACCTACTACCATGGGTGCTCCAGCCCGAAAAAGTCCCCATAAGCCATAAAGTCATGTCTTGACCAAAGGTAGATTCCTCTCATTGTAAACTCCTCCTTCAACGAAGCATCCCATGTTGTGACCCCTTCCATAGTTCTTGAAATTCGTCAACTAAGGGCTGCATTAAAACATTCAATTTTCTACCGGGATGCTCCGGACCGGGAACAACAAGTGCGAGGAAAATATACTCGGAGACCTTAAGAGTGTGCCGGAGGTAGGTTCGGTGGGGTCACAAAGACTGGCCAACATGAGTAAGGTGCAGCATTCACATCAAATGGTTGGAAACCATCTGTTGCTCTTGCAAAGGCGCACATTTCTTTTTTTTCTGTGCAAATTCGGATAGTCCACATTAAATTGTTGCCAAGCCTCTCCGTCACAAGGGTGCACCATCTTACCACATGTTGTGGGACTATATGATCTCATTAACTTGGCTGTCTCCCCATGGAGATATAGCCTTTGCTTGACCTATCTGTGTGATTGGAAGATAGCGCAAAACTTTTTGCGTGCAACCTTTGTTTCGCCCTTCCACATACCGATTAGCACCACAAAAATCACATTTATCTTTGTCCTTGTTATCTTTGTAGAATAGCATGCAATTGTTATAGCAAACATCAATTTTGATATATTGCATACCAAGACCCTCTAATAATTTCCTAGATTGGTAGAAGTCATTAGGTAACTTGGAGTCAGGCGGAAGGAGTTCATGTACTATGCCTAGTATGTCATCATATTCTGCGACGGACATGTTGTACCGTGACTTCACAGCAAACAAGCGAGCTACAGCAAACAAGCGTGAGTGTGTGGTTCTATCATGCACCAACTCATCTGCACTAGCAACCATCCTATAGAAAGCTTTGGCATATCTTTGATGGTTCAAACATCCGAGTATAGGTGGATGGTGCCCGGCAAGCTCAACCAACATTTGATCCATCGATCAACTTCATCGATTGCCCTCTCTATTTCCCACACCATCATATCCATCATGTGAAATCAGCCCCTCACCATGCTCAGTCCAAGTTTCATAGTCTTCCTTAAAACCATGCCTACACAAATGCATCTCTATAGTGTATCTTATATGCCTAAAGTAGTTCCGACATTGTGCACAAGGACACTTAATAGTATCATTTTCAGCTACACCAGTAATTGAAAATGCACTATTCAAGAATTCATTGGTTCCATCAATCCATTCATTTGAGGGAGCTTTGCCACGTTGCCAACCATTATACATCCATGTTCGGCTTGACATATTAACTAGTTCTGTTTCAAATATTAATATATTAGATATCACAATAAAGGAAGCTCAATTATTTTTGGTGCAAGGACAGACATTCCAAACTCAGACAAGTGGGCACACAAATAAAATGTAGAATAACAACATCGTCATACAACAAATAAAACTAGTGAAGAAAGAAGTGTACCTTGAGTCTCACGGTACTCAACAACTCTTCTTTGTCTACCTCCCTCAGAACCTTGGTCCTTGTTTAGCCCAAAATCTTTCTACTGCGATTACATCAGGGACATGAGATTAGAATTTCCGGTAAAAAAATTCATGCTATTAGTGAGGCCACTATGGGCTGATATGCTGCCTATAGGTCTTGAATAGGTACATGTCATGAAAATATCAATATTATATATTCTAGAGGAAGAGGGAATACAAGCTGGTGTCGGAAGCAATATGCGCAGGTATCTTCAATGACTTGGGTAGTGGAAGCAATGTGGATGTCTACGTGATAACCAAGGTACATGTTTTCTGTTTTTATTTTATAGTTCCAGGGCCAAACCCTGGTCCAGATCCATTGCAAAGGAACCAAAGTAACAAGCATTTACAAAATTTTAGAGCAGAGCATCCTCATCATGTGAGGGACATAGGTTAATCTCAAATGCCACACATGCAACAAAGGGAGACCTTTTACGTAATCTCTAGAGAAAATGATCTAGGGGTTAGTTGAATTCCCCCCCGCATCCTATTCACTGGGATAACAACATCAAAGATGGGCCACAAAAAGCTACTGGGCAACCATTTAGTAAGCTATTATCGGAGAAGCATTTGATTGCACAAACATTATAGGAACACGAACCCATAATATCTTCACCATGAAACATATTTGGCACGATCTGATACATCGAGAATCCACAAGACGCAAAGTATTGAATGGTAAAGGCAACCATTTGTCGAACACATATGAACACTACCAAATAATAAGATCAGATGATGCGCAACAATTTCCGGCGGCGGATCTCGTCGCGAGGAGGTCGCGTGCAAAAGGTCGTCGTAAGCAAATCTGGCACAAGCCTCGCCCGGCGGCGAGCACCGGGAAGCGCACGGGAGGGGTCGTGTTGGAAAGGCGATACTGTCGGCGGGTTGGGGTGGTGGCGGCAGCGCAGATGGAGGGCCGTCTTGAGAGCGCCCACCGCGGAGAGGTGAACTGAGGCGGCGCCACGGGGGGGCCGCGCCGAGAGGGCCGCCACGAAGAGGCAGATCTAAGGCGGGCGCGCCGAGAGACGAGGTGCGTCGCCATGGGGACGTCGCTTGGGGAGGGAGAGACAGAGGCTCTCGCCGCCGTGGCTGGTGGCTACTGGTGTCGGTGGGTGGAGGCGAGATCTAAGCGACAACGGACCTAGGGCAGCGAGCGGCGGCCATGGAGCTGTGGTGCCTAGCGGCGGGCGGTGAGCGGTGAATGTGCAGATGGGGGTGGTCTTGTGTGGCGAGCGGCGGACTTGGAGCTGGGAGCGGCGGACTTGGAGGCTCTGCGGAGTTCAGCCTCGGCGGCGCGGCGCGTTTGGGATAGCGTCGGTGGCGGCCGCGGGAGGATTTAGTTTTAGGGTGTTTTTGTTTTCGTTTTTTTTTTCACTCTCTTTTCTATTCTATACCGCGCATACTTTGTGCCTCTCCTTTGTGCTGTGCCTTTTTTCTGTGAGTTAAAAACCCACATAATAATTTCTATTTCTCTGTGGGTGTTCACTATTTTTCTGTGTGTATTGTCACGCACAGAAAAATAACTCAATTATTCTGTCGGTTTTCCTATATTTCTGTGGGGATTTTTTTAAACCGACAGAAAAATTACAATTTTTCTGTGTGTTTTGAGAAACACGCACAGAAAAAATCAACACGCACAGAAGTATTCGAGTTTCCAGTAGTGCTAGGTTATGAGGATCCTGCAAAGCCTAATTATGTGTGCAAACTTGATAGAGCTCTCTATGGGTTAAAACAGGCTCCCAGAGCCTGGCATGCTCGACTTAGTAACAAGTTAATAAGTCTCAGATTTAAAGTATCAAAAGCTGACACATCCTTGTTTTTCCTCAATAAGGATAATTTGACCATGTTTGTGCTTGTATATGTAGATGATATTATTGTGGTAAGTTCTACAGAGAAGGCCACAGATACACTTCTCAAGGAGCTACAAAATGAGTTTGCCTTGAAAGATTTAGGTGATCTTCATTATTTTCTGGGTATTGAAGTTTCCAAAGTATCAAATGGGATATTCTTGACACAAGACAAGTATGCATCTGATCTACTCAAGCGAGTTGGAATGTCTGATTGCAAGGCCGTGGCTGCTCCACTCAGTACTAGTGAGAAGCTGTCATTGCATGAGGGATCTTTGTTGGGACCTAAAGATGCGACACATTACAGAAGTGTAGTCGGTGCATTACAGTACTTGACACTTACCAGGCCAGATATTTCATACTCGGTGAACAAGGTTTGTCGATTTCTCCATGCACCAACCACTGTACATTGGGCTGCAGTCAAGAGGATACTGAGATACATCAAGCAATGCACTTCACTTGGCATTAAACTTCTCAAGTCATCCTCTACTTTGATCAGCGCATTTTCTGATGCCGACTGGGCAGGCAGTGGTGATGACAGGAGATCAATCGGGGGTTTTGCAATCTTCTTTGGCTCTAATCTTGTCTCATGGAGTGCTCGCAAACAGAGTACAGTATCACGGTCGAGTACCGAATCAGAGTATAAAGCAATAGCTGATGCAACTACTGAAGTTATGTGGATACAAACTCTACTTCGAGAATTGAGTGTGAGAACCCCAGCTGCTGCCAAACTGTGGTGTGATAATATTGGTGCTAAATACTTGTCTCAAAACCCAGTATTCCATGCTAGAACCAAGCACATAGAAGTGGATTATCACTTTGTCAGAGAAAGAGTTGCACGAAGACTGTTAGAAATTGATTTTGTATCATCTGGAGATCAGATTGCTGACGGGTTCACCAAACCCTTGTCAGTAAGGCTACTTGAGAATTTCAAGCACAATCTTAACATGACCAAGTTATGATTGAGGGGGAGTGTTAGATAGGCAATGTGCGCATGCATCTGTAACAAACCGATGAGTCATCGGTCAAGCTATAAGTTAGGGGTAGTTGCTATTAGATATATATGCACCACAAGATTGTTTGGCTCTCCTAACTTATAGCTATTCAGGTACATCTGTAATCTATATGTAGCCACGGGTGAGGCTGTTTCACCCATCCAATCAACACGCAAGCACCTGCAGTCCTGAGTTTGGGACTCGGTGTTCATCCCCATCTGCGCCTCTGAATTTCTACACTGAGTACTGACCGATGAAATGTACCTCTTCTCATGAATGGAAATGCAAGAGCATTCCAGAGCAGCCTCCCAAAATGTATCGGTTCCACTATGTGCTGCTGCCACAGTAGGAAGATGGGTGTTGGTTGTCTGTTTCTGGGCCTCTGGGAGCAATAGGTTTCAGTAGAGCAAAGAATCGCTGGATGACAGCCAAAGGTGCCCCAACAACATAATCGATCCTCCTTCCGATGCAACTTAAATATTGTCTTTTGGGAAAACCTAATCACACTCTAGCACCGTCCATTGTTTCTCTTTGATATATACATATAAACGGACAAACAATGGCTGGCCGCGAGTGAAGCGACGAGGTATGCGAGTATGTCATGCCAGTCATCGATCTAACTTGAGCTTTTATACATGATTCACCACAGGGGAATGATAAAACATGGAGTGAAGGGGTACGTGGTGGCCAAAGACGACGACGACGAGAGGCGACGGCAATGGGGTTGTCCCCATCCTTTGCACCAGGAATCATTGGTGTGCTGTCCATGATGGGGGCCTAAAATGCGAGGGATTAGAGAGCGCATGAGGTCGTGGGAAACGAAGAGGAGGTCCACGGCACATCACCAGATAGGGGGGCGACTGTTTCCACTTGCTTCAGTATAGGAAGACGATGACGACAGCCTTCACCAAAAAGCCAGATTGCTCGGTGTTTGAGACCCAAAACGGATTCATAGAGGTGAGGCATTTCCGTTTTGGTGGTTAGGAACTAGGAAGGAGAGGGAAAGGAGAACGAGGAGGGAAAGGGGAGGGCGTCGTGGGAGCTGTTATGAGCCGGACGACCGGACGAATGCAAGACGCCGATAAAATTATTTTCTGCTCCGCGTGGTCCCGCCTTGCCCACCTGCTCTCACGGCCCACCGCGTTGATCTCAGCTCGTGCACGGAAGCACGCTCTCAGCTCGCGCACGGAAGCACGTACGTGAGCGCATAGAGACGAGGAAGAAAAATATTTGAGAAAAAATAATAGAAAATAGGGAGGTTGAAGTGTTGAACACAAGACAAAAAAAAAACTAGGACAGTCATTCCTCACCACTACACCTTAAAGGCTTGTCTTAGTTATGAAATATTTATACTAAACCGTATCGGACCATTTAATTCTAAGAAAAAGAAGTATTCCATTCTCACATGAATACTTTTTTAGACAAAAAAACATGTGACATCCATGGAATATAGAAAAAAGCTAGGAAGAGACAAAACAAAATAAAAATATAAAAATGTATAATTAAAAGTAATAGGAAAAATAAAGAAAAATAATCTAAAATACGTCAAAGTACATCACATGGATACTATTCGAACAACCTAAAATAAGCATCTCATGAGTATTATGTGAAA